CTCTACAGGTCCAGACGCAAATGCATTGGTAGATTTAACAGTGAGAAGATGTGACCATTCTTTGCTGATTGCTCCAGATTCTTTTTTCTTCAGAGAAATAATAAGCAAGGTCATCAGTTGAGAGTGAGGTGGGGGAAGAAGATTACAAATGGTCTCAGAAAGTGGGCAAGTGAATTGACCAGGGAGCTGTAGTAGGATTGCTGGGCAGTAACGGAGGGCCAGTTTGAGGTTTGTGGGCCATACATGTAAAGGGAGACCAGTCAGCACAGGTGGTGGTTTCCTCTAGTTAAATTCCAATGCGTGGGACAGCTGTGGAATAGAAGAACTGGATTTAACTTGAGTTAGGGTTTGCCTGGAAAATATAAGAAAGGGAAAGGCAAAGAGGGGCAAGGCTGTCGAGAGTGTATGCATGGCAGTGACTGTGGTAATACACCACGGAAAATGAACTGAGTAAGGAGGGAAAGACATAGGGGCGTTAGGGAGAGTGAAAAAATGGCGGGATCAATGGATTGGATGTCTCAGTGGAGGCTGTCTAGAGTAAGTGAGCTGAAAAGGTAGGAGCTGGTATCCAGAAAGTAGAATGCTTGAAACAGATCTTGGTGGCTGAGGTAGTGGAGGAAAATAAAATCCACTTGGAAGTAAAAAGGTCAAGATCAAAGGATTAAATAGATTATCTACAGAGTGACTGAAGTCACCAAGAATGATGACAAAAGGACTGAAAGAAAGAAAAAGACTTTGAGCTAGATGCTAACGTCTTCAACAAATATAGAGAAGTGACCAGGGGGTCTGTAAATGATCACAAGGTGAAGCAGCAAGTGCTGTGATCTGATGGTATGTATTTCAGAGAAACTTGGGTTTTTCAAGGAGGGAGATGGAGAAATGGTCTGGAAGTAGTAACAGACAGAAAGGAAAATATCTACCCCTTCTCCAGGGTATGTGAAAAAAAAAAACAGCTACCACTCCAGGAAAAGCAAGGTTCATTTTAATGGGTGGGAGAACGTGAAGGGGATGTTCAGAGAAGAGGTTGAAGATATAGATGATTTTATAGGTATTTCCTTAGACCCAAGGTAGGCACTATAGAAATGCAAAGCAGCATGAGACACTTGTCCCTTTAAGGACTTTAGGTAGGCCTATGGCAGGTAGGTGAAGATATAAAACTATGGCACAGGACCAAATATGTGTCACTCTACAAGCTCTTCATCCTTTTCCTAGCAGGTCTGTTGGTCAATAAGCATTTATTGAAAATATCTTAGGGGCCGGCCCGGTGGTGTAGTGGTTAAGTTGTGCACTCTGCTTCGGCGGCCCGGGGTTCACAGGTTCGGATCCCAGGTGCAGACCTACCCACCGCTTATCAAGCCATGCTGTGGTGGCGTCCCATATAATGTAGAGGAAAATGGGCACAGATGTTGGCCCAGCGCCAATCTTCCTCAGCAAAAAGAGGAGGATTGCAACAGATGTTAGGTCAGGGCTAATCTTCCTCACACACACACAAAAGAAAATATCTTAGCATATCAAAAGTGAATGGTACCTTCCTTGAACAGATGACAAAACTGAGGTTCAGAAAGGAGAAGTGGTTTATCACAGGTTCCACCCTAGTTAGTGGCAGATCTAGGTCAGGAACTCCAGGAGTCTATCCAGTCCACCAGGATGTATGCAGAGGCCTGAAGCAGGTGCTAGAAAGGAACTAGAAGGAATATAAACTATGTTCCTCGACACACTTCATGCTTTCAGTTACAGTCTAGTAAGAATAGGATGCTCATAAATGAAATAACCAGCAAACAGCATATCAATAAGCACAAAATATGCTACAAGTTGCGTTCACAAGTGCCAAAGGGCGGCGATGTAAAGTCACATGTGGTTTTTTAAGGAATATTTCCTGGTGATAGTAAATTTGTTTAAACGCTATAAGTAATTCATGAGAATTAAAGAAAAGTTGGAAAACACAGAAAAGTAGAAAGAAAAAGCAAACCACTTTTGAGGTCCCATTACCTAAACAGAATCACCATTGTTAATATTTTGGTGTATTACCATCTAGTCTTTTTTTCTAGGCATAGACTTTTTAAGTTAATAAGTAAATATTTAATTTTAATAGATAAATCATGCAACCAGTTCAAAATTCAAGAGGTAAAAAAAAAGGTAGATAGTAAAAAAAAATCAATCTTCTTCCCAACTTCCACCACCCGTCTTCAGTCACACAGTTTCCGTCCCATGAGTCCACCTCTATTCACAGATTCATGTTTTCAAGTTTCTAGAAAGTTTTTTTTAAGATTTATTTATTTTTTCCCCCCAAAGCCCCAGTAGATAGTTGTATGTCATAGCTGCACATCCTTCTAGTTACTGTATGTGGGACTCGGCCTCAGCATGGCCAGAGAAGCGGTGCCTCAATGCGCGCCCGGGATCCGAACCCGGGCCACCAGCAGCAGAGCGCACACACTTAACTGCCAAGCCACGGGGCCAGCCCTAGAAAGTTTGTTTACAAGCAAATTGCATCTCCATGAGCATGGAATTGCTAATCATGGCAATATCACACTAGGCAAACACTGGATTTGGTGAAGTAATCTTCACAACTGGGACTTTAATATTTTATCTAAGAATCACAGAATTATTGGGTTAGAAATGACTTAGAGAATCATTCATTCAGCTTCCTGAGGAAATTAAAGAAATAAACTTTTCCCAGAGTTCACAGTTAGGAGAGCCAAGATTATAATCTAGGTTTTCTGACTTTTATATTGGTGATCCCTTCAATACAACATATTACAACACACCCACTCAAAAACACAGCAAGTGAACATTATAATACTTACCACAATCCTCCCCTTGTTCTTTGTATTTACGGCCTTTCTGAAGTTTTAGAGACGGTCAGAGTCTTTTTTTTTTTTTAAGAAGCTTTATTTTTTTAGAACAGTTTTAGATTTACAGAAAAAATTGAGAAGGTAATAAAGAGTTTTCACATTCCCTACACCCAGTTCCCCCTTTTATTAACATCTTACATTAGTATAGTGTGTTTGTTACTGTAATGAACCAATATTGATTCGTGATTATTAACTAAACTCCATGACGTCATTCAGATGTCTTTAGTTTTTTTTTTAAAGATTTTTATTTATTTATTTATTTATTTTCCCCCCAAAGCCCCAGTAGATAGTTGTATGTCATAGCTGCACATCCTTCTAGTTGCTGTATGTGGGACGCAGCCTCAGCATGGCCGGAGAAGCGGTGCGTCGGTGTGCGCCCGGGGTCCGAACCCTGGCCACCAGCAGCGGAGCGCGCGCACTTAACCGCTAAGCCACGGGGCCGGCCCCAAGATGTCTTTAGTTTTTACCCAATGTCCTTTTTCTATTCCAGGATCTTATCCAGGGTATCACATTATATTTAGTCATCATGTCTCCCCAGGTTCCTCTTGGTTGAGATAGTTTCTCAGACTTTGTTTTTGATGATCTCGATAGTTTTGAGGAGTACTGGCTGGGTATTTTGTAAAATGTTTCTCTATTGGGATTTGTTTGTTTTTCTTGTGATCATAGGTTTATTTTTTATTTAACATAACCCTATGCTTGTCAGCATATGTTTGTATATTATTTTCATATGGACATTATCCATTTCTAATAATTTATGGCGTTTTCCATAAACAGTTTTTAATGGCTGAAGATTCTTGCTCTGTTATTTAAATCCTATGTGACCTTGGACACATTTCTAAACTTCTCTGAGCCCTTGGTTTCCTCCTCTGTAAATGGTGCTCATAGGATTGTCATGAAAAAGGCAAGTAGGCCGTTGAGCAAAGGCAAAAGATAATTAAAGTTATGTTTAAAGATTATTCAGAGAGCGGTGTTTAACCTAGATTGGGGAAAAAATAGGCAGCCAAGAGGCAATTGCAGTACATGGGGCATGCCAGACCTAGAAAGAAGGACAGGGGGATGGTGTCCAGAAGTAAGCCCTGCCCATGCAACCTCAGTGGGACTCGAGAACTGACCAGATATGGGTGGGATGAGCTGGGAACACAGGAGGGGACAAGAACACCTTCCTTGTTGGGATCATCTAGGACCAACAGAAACTTGGTGCCTTTGAGAGTCAGGGAAGAGGAGAAGGCAGACCTGTTGGTGAGAGGAAGGCAGGAGCTTGGAATTTGATGTGTTTAGTTTCAGGCGGTGGCTGCCTATCCAAGTGGTGAAATCTTCTAGAGAAGTAGAGATCTGGGTCTGAAGGAAGTCTCAGGGCTTGAGAGCGGACAGGCTTCCCAGAAGCTAATCCTGCTAGAAAGGCGCCAGTCACAACTGCCACCATTTGCAGAGTGTCCACTAAGGCCAGATGCTGCGCGAGACCTGTCACCTCTTCTTCTTCACCTGAACAAACCCTGCAAGCAAGGTAGGTGTTTTTATCCATACTTTACACATGATAAAAGCGAGATTCCGAGGGTTAAGTAACTTGCACAAGGACATAGAGCTAGTTGGTCTCTGGGCAGGAAGCAATCCTGCTTATAGGAAAGTCAAAGCCTTCCTATCACTCTTTGGTTAGACCAGAAGGCCTCCAACCCCCTATTTGGCAAATGAGAAACCTAAGCCCTAGAAGGAGGAAGTGCCTGCCCGAGGGCACTCAGGTAGTTAGCGGCTGAGCTAGGGCTATAAACCGGGCACCTGCAACTGGGCTGACCCTGAGGGGCACCCAGTATTAAAGGGGCCTGGGGTGGGAAAGAAAAGCCAGTAGAGAAAACACAAAAAAAGAAATGAAGGAAGACCTTTTCAGCAGGCTCACATGGCCTTGCCTACAGTTCTCCACATCACCTCCCCTCTCTCCCCACCACACGCCCTACACTTTGCTACCCAGATTACTTGCAGTTTCTTGCTGCACCATGTGATGCTACACCTCCTGGGGCCAGGATTGCCCTACTGCCCCCAACACTCCAGGAAAACTCCTGCTCCTTCAAGACCCAGTTCAAGCATCCTGTGAGGCCTTCCCACTCAAGCCTCAGGAGAGGACACTCCCCCAGGATCCCAACTGAGGACACTCCCCCAGGATCCCAACAAAGTGAGCTGTAGTTCTCTGAGCACCTTCAAAGCAGCAATTTCATTGTATTCATCCTTCTTTCTCCAGTGCCCAGCATGAGATCCCATCAAATAAAGGCTTGTAGAGGAGAAGGAAAAGAAGAGAGACAGGCCCAGGATCACAGGAAGGGAGGAAGGCCCAAGGACGTGGAGTCAGGAAAGCTGACTTTGTCTCTTTCCTATGCACGCCTACCCCCAGTTACTGGTCAGAACTGCAGTGGACTGGATGTCCAGAGAAGGATCCAAGCATTTGGCAAGTAGGAAAGGCAGAGGTGAGGCAGAGCAGATGGGCATATGATTACCATATTTATATTTGCACGTAGGTGGATGACACATAAACTGCATATTTACACATGAGAAATGGTACAGGCAGGTTGAGGATTCCTGGAACAAGGGCATTGCTGAACGCTGACGTGGTAGACACTCAGCTGAAGCCTACAAGCGAGAATGGCAATGGGGAGGAGTTGAAACACAGTCTTCTGGGCAGAGAGGTGGGCAGCTGTGTGGACAGCCGTCTGGGAAGGGGTGGGCCTCCTGAGGCTGGGCCAGGGCAGCCAGGCGCTGCTGCACACACTCAGCTGTCAGCCGTGCTTCTGGGTCTGCATCCCAACAGTCCTCTAGGAGCTCTCTCAGGCCACCAGGGTCCTGGAAAGATGACCAGGAGGCAGGCTTGACCCCAGGATCCTGAGTGGTCCCCAGGGTTAAAAAGTGTCCACCACTCCCATTTTCAACACTCATCTTCTGATGCCACCTGGAGCCTCCCTCCCCATCCTCACTGAAATCCAGCCCTCTGCATCTTGTTCCCTATGAAACAGGTTCTCTGGGTACCTTCCAAAGGACCCACCTTTTCCTCTGAGGAGCTAATTCAGGTTGATGGCTTAGCATGCTAATGGGAAATTACTCTCCTTCCTCTCAGAGAACCAGGGTCTTCTGCAAATAATGCCTAGGCCTCGGTTGTCTGACCCAGCAGATACTTGTGCAGTGGAAATTTCAGACCAGGTAGGAGGGGAAGGGACTTCCTGTTAGGAAACTATTTGTGCAGACCCCTGAAATTTCACTGTTAGGCCACTGCTTTCACCCTGTATACGTAGATCTGGCTTTTATTGGGTCATAGCAGAAATATAGATGTGTAGGACAGAACGAGGAATTATTGGATTGAATGTTGGGCTCCAGTATACCAGAAGAGGAGCCATCTTGGGGGCAGATCTCAGGGCAGAAGCAAAGCCAAGGAGGGCTTTCTGGAGCAGGGGTCTGAGGAACAGGGCTAACCAATGGTGGGGAGAAGAGAGACAGACTATGCAAGAGGGAGCAGGAGGAAGGTGTGAGTCTCAGGAATGGGCTTTGTGAGAATTATAGTGGAAGAGGATGAACTGAGGAACAGAGCAAGTTTGCCCAGCTTCAGCTGAACATGAGCTAGGAGTGGTGGGAGATGAGAGGAGATAGGACTAGATGGGCTTGTCCTGGCAGACAAGTCCTTGAAGTCCATGCCCAGACTCTCCAGGTCCCCAGCCCACCAGCCTGTGGTCTCTTACTGTGGAGATGCAGTGCCAGGTGGATGGGATGTAGGGGCGCCTTCTCTCTTCCACTGCCAAGGTCCACAGCTCACAGGTGGTGGGGGTGCTACCCAGTTCCGCCTCATAGGCCAGTTGGAAGGGTGGTGGTGTACTGTCTGGGGAAAGGCACATGGGGCTAGGTGTCAGCTAGCTAAGGGAGCCTCCCTTGTGGAAAGGCCAAGGGGGAGAAGGGCAGAGCTTCCTGGGTCAGGAGGTAGGTGGATGTAGAATGGGTGGGTAAGACATCCGCGGGTGGGGTGGGGGGACCGTAGCACCCATCCTTACCAGGCCATAAATCTGGGCAGCGGCTCAGGATCTCCCACAGGAGCAGAGCCAGAGAATAAACATCGGCTCGCCGGAGGGCCATGCCCCAGTCCTGTAGGTCCAAAGTCTTGTCTAAGAGCTCCGGTGCCATGTACCTCTGGGTGCCAGCCTGGAGAGCAAGGTGTGGAGGGTCAAGAATCATCTCCCTGGCATCCCTCACCACAACACTGGTCCATGCAACATTCGCCCAACTATAGACTCAGCAATGTCCTCAGCAAACACTATCCGTACTGCTGCACTGTTGCCACAGCAACGGGCGTGTCTTCGTCAGCACTGCCACCATCATCCTGGGCCTCATCTTTATCCAGAGTACTTACCTCCATTATGGCAGCTGGGCCTCGGGGTTGAGTAGGGGCCCAGGCAGGGGGCTGAGCGAGGCCAGGGAGCACTAAGGCGAGGCCCAGGTCTCCAATAGCACATGACCCATCCTGCCGAATGAGCACATTCTGGCTGCTCAGATCTCGGTGGGCAATACCTGGTTTATATTGGCCTGTGGGAGAAGCCAAGGTTGAAAGGACATGGATCCTCTTCCTCTCTCTTTTGACCCAGTCCTTCCCCTTCAAGCTAAGGGAGAATCAGAAACATAGCAGTGTGGCTCCTGACTCCCATGGCTCCCTGCTCCCAGCTCACCCACCATCCTGCCAGCGCTCCTCGTGGAGAAACGCCAGGCCCTGTGCCAGGGACAGTGCCATCCTCAGGGAACTTCCCCAGTCACTGGTGTGCTGGGTCAAGTAGTGGCAGAGGGAGCCCTGCGAAGAAGCAGAGAGAAGGGGGGGACACACAAAGCTGGACATGACTGATCCACCCCAGGGAGCAGAGATCAGTTGACAGACTTCCCCCTGCCTCTCCCAGCAGACTGACACACTGACACACCCAGGCCAAGACGACAGGCAGTGGAGGAGTGAGAACGCGCCTCAGCCAGGTTGACAGGACAAATGGTACCTCTAGGTCAAGTGTCCTGAGCACTAAGTGTGAGCCCAGCCTCCTGTAATCCTCACAGCCCTGGGAGGCAGGTACTCCTGTCACTCCCATTTCACAGATGAGGAGCTTGAGAGAGAGCTAAGTAAACTCTGGCCAGAGGGAAGTAGAGCTTGAACCCAAGCAGTCTGATTCCAGCCTCACTCACTATTAACCACACCATACTATCTCAGAGGACTTGGGACAAAGACAGAAAGAGAAGAGGGAGCAAGCTAGGCAAGGGCACTGCTCATGAACCACCTGGCCTGAGCTGTCAGGCCTGTAGGCAGAGCGGGCAGGTAGAGAGAGCCATTGAGTAGGAGAGCAGCGGGTGGGGAGCAAATGGGAATTGGAGGGAAGGGAGCAATAGAGTCCCTCATTCAATAGACATTGTGCACCTTCAGTGTGCCAGGAAAGTTAAACAAACAAAACCAGAAAAGCAGTGATTTTTGAGGTGGGCAGTAAGGCACATGGTGAAAGAGGGGACTTTCCAGAATTCAAGATTTCAGAAGTGGAGGAGTTGTAGGTGCTGATGGACTGCAGAGTCCTTAGTAGGCCCACAAGGCGGGGTGTGGTCTGGCCCCTGCCTACCTCTTCCTCTTCATCCTACTGCTCCCAGTCCTCCCCTCAAGTCCTGGCTCCTTGTTCTTCTCTTACGGTACCATGGCCTCCCTTTCCTCACGCTTGACAGATTACACTTGTTTTTGTGTTTACTTGATCCACTTCTGTCTCCTCCACTAGCCCACAAAATCTGTAAGGCAGGGACTGGGTGTGTCTTAGTACTCAGCACAGTGCCTGACAGTTCATAAATATTTGTTGAATGAATATATGAATGCGTTTGGAGGGCTAGGCCTGGAGGTATTTCTTTAACAATGGCTTTCTTTAAGGTTGGGAATATGAATTGTTTTGATTTCTCCCTTTCCTTATCTATATTTTATGAGTTAAAAATATTAGCAAGTATTGCTTGTGTAATAAAAAAGAAAAATCATGTTTAATGTTTTAGAGAGGAGGAAACCTAAAGCAGAAGAATAAGCTTGGGCAGGGCCCAGCTGCCGTCCAGTCCCATCCACATATGCACGCAGGCAAGCACACACATAGACATTCCTCAGCCCTCACCTTGGGGTGCAGTTCCAGCACCAGCAGGGGCCCACAGGGCAGGGGGCCAGGGCCCCCCCTGCTGGCAGTGATAAAGCGGACAATGTGGTCGTGCTGTAGGCCTGGCAGCTCGTACAATGCTCTCTCAGCTTGGAACTGGGCCACAGCCCTCAGGGGGAAGGCCTTGATGGCTACCAGCTCTCCTTGCAGCTGCCCAGCCCATACCACCGCGTGACCTCCTTCCCGGATCACCTGGTGGGGACACGGCGCTGGATGCGGGCCTCAGCTAGTACCAGGGCCAGGCTTCCTCCTCAGCACACCCTCTGGGAGTGCCTAGGGGACCCTCCCCTCCCTCCCTGGGCACCTGGGAAAAGCACAGCTCGGGCAGCTCAGGCAGCTCTGCACTCCAGTCTCTGCCTGAGTCTGGCTCTGGCTCTGGCTCTGGCTCTGGCCCACCTCGCACTCTGCAGGCCTTTCGCTGTAGCAGCACTGGGGCAGAGAAGAGCCTAGGGTCAGGGTGCACAGGCATGGAGACTGGGAAGGGAGCTTTGTGGGAGGTAATGGGGGTCAGGCTGTAGAGATCTCAGAACCATGGGGTCAGGGGAGCCTGGAGGGGGTCAGAGCTTTGGGCAGTTTCTTGGGGTCACAAGGGAGGGATGGGGCAGATTAATACCCAAGATGATGCTGCCCAGCAGCAGCAGGAGGAGGAGGAGGAGCAGCCCCAGCAGCACCAGCGCCATCCAGATGGACTCACCTGGACGTTAAGGCAAGAACGCAGGCTGGATGAGCTCTGCCCCAAATCCACACTCTGCTCCTCTCCCCCTCCTCAGAGAATTTGCTTCTTGACCCACCCCCACTCTGGTCACAAGCCCCCTTATCTCCCAGTCACCAGGGCAACCAGCTTCTCAAGGCCAGGAGGGAAGCTTGGTAGTGGGGGGGTAGGGTGAGAACTGGCCCTGGTTCTACCTCTCATCCTAACCTGGGCCCCAGCCCCCACCCGGCTCCAGCACCCCGGGTGGCTACCTGGGATGGCCTGGGGACCCTGGGAGCCAAGAGTCCCAGGGCTCCCTGGAGGAGGCAGATGGCTATAATTGGCATTGCAGAAGTCAGTGCCACAGGAGCAGGTGAAGAGAGTGGAGCTGGGGCTGGGGCGGGCTCGGGGGCTTGGGTCACAGTGTGGGGACTCACAGCCTGGCTCATCACTGTCTCGGCATCCTGATGGGGTGGGATTAGGAGAAGAGAAGAGAAAGGGAAAGAGGGAGAGAGAGAGAGAGGGAGCATAATGGGGTCTGGGAACAGAGATGATAAATCCCTCCTCTGTCAGAGGCATCCCTTCCATCTCACATGGGCTTTTCTTTCCCTCCACACATTCCATTTCTTCTCTTGTCTCTCAGCTGCCACCTCCACCCCATGATGTACCTGTCTCCCACCCTAGCTATTGCCTGCCATATAATTTGCCATTCACCTTGCATCTCCACCTGTGCCCGGTCTTGGGTCAAGTTCCAGATCCCAAAGCAGCAGCGGCTGTAGAGGCAGCGGATAACCCTGGGGGGCCCTGGTCCTGCATCTAGCAGCTTCCCCAGTGTCTTTGTGCTTCCCCGCACTCCGGGGGCCTCAAAGAACACACAGGTCCGCCTGCCTGTGGGTGCTGTGGCCAAGGGTGGGAAGAGGGGAGGGTTCAAGATGGGAGTGAATGCAGGGGAAAAATAGCAGCCAAAAAGAGAGACAAAACATGTTTCATATCCCAGGGCCAGAATCATAAACCACAGGAGGAAACAGGGTCAGCAGAGGCCTGGAACCTGACCCCCACCATGGGGACACATGGCTCTATCCTTTGCCCACATTCACCCACCCTACTCACCACTCTTCCAGAGGGGTGGCTGCTGTTTCAAGTGCCCCTTTCCCTCAATAGGTAGGTGGAAAGACCATGCCCCTCCCTGTAGACACTTACCTTGCACAGCTGCAGGAAGCAGTGCCCAAAGCCCCGGAGTCCCCAGCATCATGCTGAAGGAGGCAGCAGCAGGAGGAGGGGAGCATGAGCCAACACAGCTGCCCCTGGCCAGAGCTTCCTTCAGATACAGGGCACTGTGGGGCTTCTGATCCCTCAGTCCCCAACTCCGCCCCCCTCATCTTCCAAGTCTCTGTGGGGGAGATGGCTGCTGTGGGGGAGAGGATGGTTGTGGGGAAAAGCAGGGAGAGAGAGGGAGGAGCAGAGCACCAATCTCATATCCTCCTCTTTTCAGCCACCTCCTCTTTTCTCTGCAAAGTGGGAGGAGGGGGCCTTGGAGGCCCAGAACCCAGTGATGCCTAACTGCAAACCTCTGCCCTTTCCTGACCCTAGAGAAAAGTGCTGGATCCTGTCAGCCCTTCCCAGGCTGGAAACCCAATGAGGTCAACTGCTCAGAGCCATTCAGCTGTGCCCAAGATCCCTTGTAACTCATATTTTCAGGGCTCAGATGTGCAGCTCCCTGGGCAGAGAGAGGCTTCATAGCCCATACTAGACCAGACTTCATTCTCCACACTCAAGAATCAGAAAACAGCTATATAAAATTTCTCAGAGTTAAAAAAAAAATCACATTGGGGGCCGGCCCCATGGCATGGCGGTTAAGTGCGCACACTCCGCTGCTGGCGGCCCGGGGTTCAGATCCCGGGCGCGCACGGACACACCGCTTGTCAGGCCATGCTGTGGTGGCGTCCCACATAAAGTAGAGAAAGATGGGCACGGATGTTAGCCCAGGGCCACCCTTCCTCAGCAAAAAGAGGAGGAATGGCATGGATGTTAGCTCAGAGCTGATCTTCCTCACACACACACACACACACACAAAATCACATTGAAAATGGGTATATGGTAAATTTTATGTTACCAAAATTTAAAAAATCACATTGAGTCACACACTGAACACATCACCATTATTGAAAAGGTAACAAACTTTTATTGAGCACCTCTGTGCTAGGGCACATCTAGGGCTACGCATTTTATAATCATCTCACCTAATTCTCCCATTGAGCTATTTATTATTGTCTTCACTTTATAGGTAAGAAAGCTTAGGTAACTTGGCCAAGGTCACTCTGCTAGGAAATAGCAGAGCTAGGATTGAACCTAGGTAAGTCTGACTCTAAAACCCAGGTCTTGTTACTTGCATTATGTCATGATGCCTGAAAACAAATACAAAATTCAGTAAAAAAAAAATTTCCATTTAATACAGTGTTTGAATATTTGAATTTGGATTATTGAGAAAATATACGCCATCACCTGCCAGCAGGCCACTAACTAGAAAGGAAAGGTACAGTTCAAACTATCACCACCAGAGGTCAGCAGACATAGGAGAAACTCAGGGCGCAGTGAGGGGGCAGAGAGGGCCTCCCCTGACAACTAATATCCACAGTACACCTCCTATTACCTATTAAGCTGCAGGGACTGTAAAATGTGAAGGGAGGGCACAGGGTGTGTAGAGGCAGTGTCAGCATGGATATGGATGGAAAGGTCTATAACTTGAGCTGTGATAGAGACAGGAGTCCAACTCCATCAGATTTCCCCAGAGTGAGAAACTACAGTAATAGGTGATTATTTTCACACCTGTGAGCAGCTGCCTCCCAGGAGAATTAGTCAGAGCGGACCAGTTTCCTGTTTTCCCAGACTTCCGTCCCCCTGGTGGCTGCCTGGAAACCCTTTCTGGGAATGGTCTGGCTTAGACCAGGGATGAGAGTCTGAGTACTAACTCTTTGATTCTGGAGCCTTTCTCCTGCAGACCCTGCGTGAAGGAGAGAGTAAAAGCTCCAGCAGCTGCAAAGCAGAAGCTGGAGGAATGACCAGTACTAGAGGCAGATGGACAGCTGCCCATCCCTCCTTGGGCCCTTCTCGAGTCTGCAGGGCCCTGCCAGTGAGGTGGAATGTTGTACTTATTTACAGCTATCTTCCTTCACCAGCTCCCAGATCAGATAACTCCAGGGCGGGGAGGAGTTGAAGGTCAAATAGCTTCTTGTGTCTGGAGTGTCTCAGGAGACTATCTCCTCCAGAGGGGAGTGAGGTAAGGATCAGGCAGGAAGGCATAGTCTCCTCACCCAAAGCCTTGGATAACTACTCCTCTCAAAGACAGAAACATTCCAGCTAGGTAAATGGGAACTATACCTGCTCTGGGCAGTCAGAGTTTAGAGTCAAGACGGTGAAAGAAAGAGAGAGAATCTGAGAGCTGAGGGATTAGGAAGGTCCTGAGAAAGGATCTCAGCATAGGAATAAAGTCTCCCTCGATTCTACATACACAAAGATCTTCATTAGGATCCCCTGATTAAAGTCTGCAGTGGCCCAATAATTTACTGTTGACTCCACTGACTACAGGACTAAAGCGAGTGGTTTATTCATTCAACTCAGAAAATATTAGGTCCCAGTCTTAAAAACGTATTTCTTTAGATGCTGGGCTTACAAAAATATGTGATTCCTGCCCTCGAGGAACTCATAGTCTGGAAAGGAAGGAATATATATCAAGCAACTAGAAAATTATGCATCAGACTAGGGGTATAAGCAAGCAGCTATACAAGCAGAAAGATCAAATGAGCTAATTCTGTCCAGGGCATAGAAGACAAGGGAAGAGAGGTGCCTGGAGGGTTTCACAGAGAAAGGAAAAAATTGTCTCAAAAGTAACTAGACTGAAAACAAGTAAGAGGAGGGTGACTGTTATAGTCAAAGGAAACGGCAAGAATAAAGGCACAGAGTTATGAACCCAAAGTATGTGTGTTGGGGGCAGAGGGAGTGAGCAAGAGAAAGGGGTATGAGATACGAAGCAGAAAATCACTCTAGAGATAGACTGGGACCAGATTAGAAAGGTTTTCAATTCTATATCAAGGAGCTTAGACTTTTCCTAAAATCAAAGGATTTTAGGCAGTGGTCTGGTGGCAATGTGGAAGATGGATGACTGCAGCTCAGGGAGACTAGAAGCAGGGAGATCAGTTACAAGAACTATGCAGTAGCCAAGGTGAGTACTAGGATAGTAGAAATAAAAAGGAAAAAATTGAGGTATTGTATTGGTAATGCTGACAGGATTGGTAATCAAATGAATGTTGGTAGGTGAAAGGGAGAATTAAAAGATGATTCTGAGGTTTCAAGTATAAACCATCAAGGGGTAGTAATACTGTTAGGTGAGATGGAGAACACAAAAGGATTATTTCCCCTTCTTACATGTTGAATTTGAGTTATCTGTGGGACATCCAGATGAAAGTGTCCAGGAAGCAGGCTGCCAGGTTGAGAGAAAAGTCAGGGCTTAAGATTTAGGAGTCACCAACATGTATGTAATAAATAAAGAGTGGATGCATCTTGTTTAAGGAGGTGAAAGATAGAGTAAGAAAAGGACACAAGACAGGGACAGAGGAAATAAGTGTCTATGAAGGAGACTCAAAAGAATAGTCAGAAAGGTTGAAGGAGAACTAGGAGAGCATGTTTCACACTCCATGGGAAGAAAGCTCTAAGATGCACGCTGTTGCAGAGTTCTAAGAGACTAAGGACGGAAAGACCACTGGAGCTGGCAACCAGCTTGCTGTTTATAAAAAACAATTTGGTAAATGATGGGTGCTGAACAAAGTGGCCTGAGGGGTAAGTAAAAGACACCTCAAGTGTAAACTACTTTCACTAACTTTGGAAATGGAAAGAACTAGATCAGTAGCTTGAAGAGAAAGCATAAGTTTTTCAGAATGGGGGGAGAAGAAGGATTTTAACATGCTTATAGGCTGACAAAGGGGAACTCAGGAGAGACTGAAGGGAGAAAATATCATAAAACAAAAACCAAAAAGTCAAAGAAAACAAGGTGAGAGCACAAGTGCCAGGGTTGGCCTTGCAAAGGAAAAATAACATTTCTCTCCTAAGAGAGAAAGGGGTAAACTGGTATTGGTGAAAACATAGATGTTAGTAGGGAGAGGAGAGGGAAGTTTGAGTAAATTCATGCTTCCATTTTCTCCAAGAAATAGGAAGCAAATCATCTGCCGAAAAATGGGGTCAGGACTGGGAAACTCGCAGTGAATGGTATGTGTCTCACTCGTCAAACTATTAAGTACTTGGTGGCAGGGCCTGTCTTATTTCACTTTTTATCCTCAACCTAGCTTAGTACCCAGCACACAGTAAGGGCTCAATAAATGTTTACTGAATGAATAGATGCCACAACTATTAAAGACCTAGCTAAGGCTGCAAATCCAAAAGAATCCCACAAAAAAAAGGCAACCCCCCCAAAAAAGAAACAAAAAAACCCCAATAAAGTAAAATGTTAAAATGTTACATTGCTAATGGCTAAATAAGGAAATCAAATGGCTGTTTATTCATGGTTGAGTGATTGACAAAACAGACACAGGGAGTCGAGCAAAATAATGGAGAATGCCGGTAGCCATAGTATAAACAATTGACGAAGGATTCTTGGATAGGTAGGAAGGGAAGTGGAGCCATAGTCTGATGGGAAACTGGAAAGATTGTAACAATAACTTCAATTTTAGTTTCAGAAGGGGCCACAATCCAGATTCAATCATGTTAGATACAGGACGGTATTAACTGAATGTAAAATATGTTGGGGCTAGATGTTGGTTTTTAAACGCCATTCTCCAATAAAAAGAACCTAATCTCCTTGGAGAAACAGCTGATTCTAGGGCTGGGGCAGGGAATATACACGATGAGCCTGAAGTATCTTGTATGTTATAAAATAAGAAAGTGCTCAAAAAAATAAAGGGATGTGGACCTATCAAAGGGACACGGGAGCCAACCTGAAAGAGCTTTCAATGGCCAAAGCTGGGATAATTTGAGCAACAAAGGTAATGTAGTATTAGATTACAACCCAAGTACAAAATAAATATACATGAGTACATACTAATATAAAATAAGGAGGGAGAAGAGAAGTTTCATCACAGAATTCCAAATACTTTATGTAGATACTACCCTCACCAGGAAAGGAAATGTAATTCCCACCAACCCCATTAAGGGTGGGCTAGACTTACTGCTTTGCTTCCAAAGAATGGGGAAAGAGAAACAGTGGGGAAACCTAGCAAACAATACCTTAACCACGCAATGAAGATTATCATCAGTAATGTCATGTGGCTATCACATATCCTTTGACAGGATGTGATGAGAAGGGCATTTCACCTGTGTGGTATTTTTTCCAAAAACTCATCAGGTCAGTCTAATAATGAGGAAAACATCAGACAAATTCAGATTGGGGGAAATTCTGCAGGACACCTGGCCAATCCTTCCCAAGACTGTCAAGGTTATAAAAAACAAGAAAAGACTAAGAAACTGTCACAGACCAGAGACTGGGGAGACCTATCAACTGAATCCAATGTGGTATCCTGGAATGGATCCTGGAACAGAAAGAAGACAGCAATGGAAAAACTGGTGAAACCAATAAAGCCTGGGGTTTAGCTAATGTAACGTACCAATGTCGGTTTCTTAATTTTGACAATGTACCATGATAATGTTAACAATGGGGAAAATTGGGTAAGGGGTATACAAAAACTCTCTGTA